CCAGTCAAGGAGATACACAAGTAAATGATAATACAAGGGATATGTGATGAGTCCGCATTCTAGAAAGCTGTGGGATGCAGAGGAGGGGCACCTAGACTGGAGACAGGGGAGGCAGGTGGGTTTAGGGGTGTAGGGGTGCTGTTCCTGATACAGATTAAGGCTGATGAATGATGGCAAGACAGTTATTAGGTATCCACTTGACCGGGCCATCGGATACCAGATAACTGGTTAAACATCACTTACTCTGGGGGGGTCTCTGAGAGTGTTTCTGGATGAGATTAGCATGTGAGTCAGTGGACGGAATAGAGCAGACAGCCGCTGACTCCCCACCGTAAGTGGGCATCGCCCAATCTGTTGAGGGCCTAACTATAACAAAAAAGCTGCAGAAGGGTGGATTTGCTCTCTGTTGGCTGGAACACGGGTCTTCTACCAAACTTAGATCGGGATTGAAAGCATCAACTCTCCTGATCCACAGACCGTCAGACTCCACAGCTGGTGGAATTGCACCCCCAGCTCTCCTGGGTCTCTGATAGAGGCTAGAACTTCCTAGCCCCAAAATCATGCGAGCCAATTCCTCATCATACATCTTTCTCTGTATGTATCTATATATCCTATTGGTTCTGTTTCTCTGGAGAACACAGATGGGCTCGACTTGTAGTAGGAACAAATTCTGTACGGCTGAACATGAGGGCCAGGAAAGAGAGAGAAGTGGTCAGGCTCGGGGAGTCAGGAGTCAGGGCATGAAGAGAACGGTAGGCCATGCTAAGGAGCCTGGCTTCTATCTTACGAGATTTGAAGGTGGGTGAGGCGACCTGATGTGTGGTCTACAAAGACACTCCGGCAGCTGGGTGCAGAGCAGCTTGGAGGCTGCCCTGGGAAGCATGGTGGGAGGATCGCATACAAGGAGATGACTCACCCTCGACACAGTGGCAGCAGGAATGGCCAGAGGTGACTGATTATCAAGCAGCATTAAGCAGCAAAACTTGGGTATAAAAGAGTCACCAGAGATGACTGTACACTTTGAGCTAGGACGGTGGGATGACAGTAATAGTAATCATTAATTAAACTTTTATAATAGTATGTCTTAAGTGATGAAGAGGATTTTGGTGAGATTCACAAGGCCCTTATCCTCAGGTACCTTATAACTTAAATTATACTCATAATTGGAGAAGTATCTTATAAGCTTCAAATTATTTAAAAATTGGCCCGATGACATCATTAATCCTGCTTAAAAAACTAGTGATTTTCTACTGTCCACATGGGACAAAGTATAATTCCAGTGGGTCCTGCTTGCCAGTCTCCTTTGGAACAGGAGTCCAACCTCAAATTCTATGGCCCACATCCCAGCGCCTTCCCAGGCACATGGAATGGCCTGCCGTTCCTCAAATATAACATCACTGTTCTCTCTGGCTGGAAGCCTCATCTCCGTTGATGGGGGTTTAAGCTCGTAACTCATTTTTCAAGACCCAGGTCAAAGTCATCTCCTTACAAAAGCCTTCCCCGGGCCCCCAGGCAGACTACATGCTCCTTTTCTCAGAGTCCTTATACTGTGAGCGCCCTACACCACAGTTCTCATCACATACTATAATCTGTTTCTGACCTTATCCATGAAATTCATGAGAATGAAGACGCCATCTCATTCCTCCTCCCACTCCCAGGGCTACTGAACTGGAGGCTTGGGGAGCTGGTGGAGCTGAACAGAATGACTGCATGGTCATTCCAGGCAGGCCAGAATGTTCAGTGATGAGTCTGGGAGACATTCTGAGGAGGGAGCTATGGAGTTGTGCTGCATAGTCTCTCCTTCACAAGTTAAATGTCTCACTGTGTTCGAATTACCTCAGCAAAACGACAAATCACCTCGTGGCAAAGATCTTTAGGCTGCCCTCAGCATCAAAACCTTATGGTTTATATGTTTATATGTTAATTCTGTGAATTCTGCAGAGACCAAGCAAAGGTCTACTGGTTTTCCAGAAGCTTCACACACCAGTAAGTGATACAGTAGCTTAAGGACAGTCTCCTCTGTTGCAAATTTTCCTGACATGGTTTTATGCAGACTGATAAAACACACATCAACTCACTCACGGGTGACACCCTCAGGCAGTGGCTACCTCTGGGATGGCTTCCTAGCTCACAATAATCTGCCCTTGTCTGGGAAACAGGCCCACTATTACAAGACAGGGGCAGGGCCGTACAGAGGTGTAAAAAGCAGACAAACTTGAGCAGTCTTTAAGTGTGGAATAACTGGCAAATGAGGGGACAAGCCACCGTGGAGGTGTTACCAGTGGCAGCCCCCAGACAGGTGGTGCACTGCTCAGGGCCCCAGGGTGGCCCGCTCTGCCCCCCCTCCCCGCCGCACTGTGCCACTGATTCCATGACATGCCTTTCAGCAGCTCTGTTGCGGGCTTATGTAAGCTCAAGTTAGTTTCTGTCAAGAGCAATGAAAAGGATCCGAATACCCACTTTCAGCCCTTGGGGGTCTGCTCACTCAGGCCAGTTACTTCTCTCACAGGTCTTGGCACCTGGACATTTCTCAATGAAAGTGCCTTTTTAGAATGACCTTGCTCAGCTTGACTAGTAGGCTTCTTGGGAGGGTGAGGTCAAACACATTTTTTTTTTGAGAGAGAGAAAGAAAGAGAGAGAGAGAGAGGTGAGGAGGGACAGAGGGAAGGAAGAGAGAGAATTCGTTGGACGCTCAACCCACTGAGCCACCCAGGCGCCCCAGATAAAATACTTCCGTGTTTTGTCCACATGCCTCATTTTGGCACCCTGCCCAAATAATTTATAGTTCAGTGAAGGACACAGAGAATCCACCCAGAAAAGAGAATGTCTGACGAGACAGTGAAAGTTTTGGGTGTCTGACAAGATAGTGATGGTTTTGGGTCCTTACTAGTGTTACAGAGGAAGCCTGCTTTAAAGCACTATTCTAGGATCTGGCCAAGAAAGCTGGACTGCTCGACAAAACACTGACTTTTCAGTCACTATGTTAATTACATGGTCACCATGCTTGGAGCCTCACCCTTAAATCTATCAGCAAAGCATAGGAGGGCGGAATCCATTTTTAATATTCTTGCCTGATAGTCTTTATAAATAACTGAATCTCTTATCGAGAATGTACTATAATGGGGGCTCTTCCTTATTGTAATAGTATAGAAGAGTCTAATTTGGGGATTCTAAATGATTATGCCTATTTTTTCCTCTATTAGCGGTCGCTAACGTACAGTCAGAAATAGAATCAGAAGTAAAAATTAGCTAAGCAGGGTCTAGAGGACCTTAAGTTGTCTTTCGTATTATCATTTTCATGATGAGGAATCGAGTCGGCACAGTTAGAAATGTCCAGAATTCTGGAGACATGGACAACCAAAGCCAAACAAGAGAGACATGGGATTTATTCCTTATTATTGGGAAATAATCCTGGCCTTAGTTCAAAGCTATGGTCACTATAGTCACACCAAATTACCATTATTACCCTAGTGTTATGAATTTATTATTTTTCTGTGATAAAGCTACAAGATCACAGGAGGGATCAGTTAGAGATGGTGGCTTGAGGGCTGGAGCCCACTCAGCTGTGGAACCCTAGGAAAGTCACATCCTTGTCTATAGCAAAGGGGGAACCACCTACCTCCAAGGAAATAAAGGGGGAAGCAGCTATAAGCAGTGTTAGAATCTGCTCTGACTCTGTAGAAAACAAACAAAATGTGCTAGAATTTCATGATAATTACCCTTAGGAGAAACTTATTTGACAGCTCTGTAGCAAAACTCTGAGTTGCAGAAGAAAAGGATGAAGACTGAAGAAGGGAGGAGAGAGAGGGAGAAGAGGACTTTTTACTGGAGTGTAAAAGGGAGGGATAGTGAAGAATACTGTCAGGCTGGGGTTGGGGTGGTGGTGGTGGTGGTGGTGGCGTGCTCTCTGGAACCTTCCAGACTATGCCTACATGTCACATGGGTCTGGACTGAAGCCTAAGGACAAGTACACAGTACTCCCTTAAATATTCTGGTCTAGCCCAAGCGGTTTACAATGGAGCTGCATCATGTGTGTGTTACTGTAAGTTCAACTATAGTAGGTGGGAAAAAAAAAAAAGAGAGAGAAGAAAAGAAAAAAGGCAAAGAAAAGCATTAACCATCTTATTGTGTGGGCAGTTCTGACTGCATTCCACCAAATGTGTGAGTGAATGTGAAGGGCAAGATAGGTGGTCTTGGGGTCTGTGTGCCCCTCAGAGTGGGAAAGTCTCTCTGGGCCAAGAGTGGTTTTAGTGTTTAGAAATCAGAAGGCCTGCATAGCCAGGCCCTATATGAAAAGCAGCCATACTGTCTGGTGTTCAGCTGCAGAAACTGAGAGCTGTTCCAAGGTGGGAGACAAGCTGGCTGGGCTAGGCACCTCAAGAGAGAGACACAGCTTCCATTGTGGTGTGTTTCTAGGGGGCTTACCAGAGAGTCTGAGTGCACAGGGCCTCCGTGACCTTCTGACCTCCTTCTCAAGCAGATGTTGTGAGCATCCCTGCCTCCTGACTTATGCTAATGCCACTTCCAACATGGGATGCCCTTCCCTCTCCTCTCTGCCTAGCCTAAACTCGAAGCATCCTCCCCCACCAACACCCCTCCCCCGCGCCCTACTAAATCTTCTAGCTTCCAAAGACCTCCTCCAAAGGAACATCTTGCTCTTGGCTGACTCATCCCTTTGGTGACCTGTCACTACCATTTTGAAATGAATCTTAACAATATTTAAATCCTGTGAAACATGTGATTAACTTTACCCAACGCAATTATCTTCAATCTGTCATCAGGTGTGCTTCCTGAGAGCAGCAATCTCATGGCACCCAGAATAGTGAGTGCTAAATATATCTGTTAGCACAGGCCAGCAGTTGAGGGCACAGGCTCTCGGTTAGAACCCTGGCCCTGCCACCTCCTGCCCTCGGGCAGGTCATCATGATCAAAAGAAGAGAACATAAAAACCCAACCTGCTTCACGTGTGACCACTCAGGCAGTTTCAAATGTGAACTTACAAATGCTGATGGCAGGAAAAGGACCCCAAGCTCATAGGAACGGATCATCAGCTGGGTGCCGTTCTTCTCTAACGCGCCCCAGGCGGCCTTGGACAAATTGGCGCTGCAAGGACAAGGACACAGAAAGGGCTGACTCAGTGAGGCGTTTCAGCTCAGGTCAAACTTTCACAGCTACAAGAACATCGGTCAAAATCACAGATAGCTGCTGTCACATTCATTCAGTTTTGGGCAGCATTGTGCACTGTTTTAGAAATGGAATACTAAATCCTGCTGTGCTATAATTCCCAGGATTTACCTAATTGTTAATTTGGGGCAGCTTCACCCTTATCTGTGTTTTCCCCGAGGACAGCTATTAAAATAATTATCCTTTTTAGATTTTTTTTTTCTCTGTCTAAAGTCCTTTCTTTCCTGGACTCTGGTGTAGCTGGAAGGTCTGATTTTATTATATGCCAAAATAGTATTTAAGGAAAAACTATGTCAATATGATCTTAGGTAGTATCTTAAGCTTCACATTCCTTTCTTCTGCCTTTGGTTTTAGGCCAGGAAGTGCTAAATTCTACTTTCAACCTTAAAACAGAGGAGGGCAGTAGACTGGCATTTGTATCCAGAAAGAAACGGTGTGTTCAGAATCCTGTTTTACGTGGGCAGAGAGTCGCAGGTATGCCTACAAGTCAGAGGATGCAGATGGAAGGAGCCCTGGGCCTGACCAGATGGGAGGCACCCAGGTTGGATCAAGACCCAGAGGCAATCCAGATAGGGAACAGAACTAAGCTCTGAGGCATCAGCTCTAGAAACATGCTCTCCTGCACCGAACTGGGCCGAGAACCCTCACCCACCAGGTAATTAACATAAACCCACCACAACGCTTTTTCCCCAACGAGGCTCACCCAAATTCCCTTATTTTTAGAATAGGGGATATTCTTAGCCATTCAGACCCTTACAGCCCGACTTCAAGGACAATGGAATTATTTCAAAATTCGATCACTGGGGCATCAAGTATTCTTGGAAGCAAGTGCTAACCCGGCGTCACAGGAATCACAGAATCAGAGACAGGCAGTAACGAAGAAAGATGAAAAGTGTGATCTCTGTTCAGGGTCCTGTGGGAATAGACAAGGACTATGGAAATCACAGCTAAAAAAGTGCTGAAACAATGAAGCTAACTTAAAGCATATGGACAGACTTGCCTGTCGTCCTTAACAGACCATACTGAGGAACAAGAAACTCCACTTTGTTGCTCAAAAGCCACAATCATGACCACCACCATCTGTGATGGATCACAAAGATGGAAAGAGCAGGGGGAGTGGGGAAGTTCACAGTAAAGTGGTACTATGACTCCAGGAAAACGGTTTTCTTTAGAAGTCCAAGAGGATAGCTTGCTTGTAGGTTTCTCACCCATTAGTCCATTAGTAAAACACGGTGACCCCCTGGGCAAAGCCACGGGTCTAATGGCACAACCAGCCAGTGAGGTGAGGTGGAAGCAGTCTCCCGTTGAGTATTTTCCCCACTTTCTAGGTCACGACCTGATTGCTCCCTTGACTTGCAACACCTAAGCATCACAGGACAGAGGCACTTTCTGGAAAATCTGTTTTCTTTCTTCACTAACTAGTCATTTCAACAACTGGAGGGCTTATTACAAGGTAAAGATTACTGGAGACCACGAAGATATCTCTTCAGATAGTTTCCTCCACGCCCTCCTTTGTATTCAGCATCTAATAAAATCCCAAGCATCTGGAACATTTAACTATATCCTGAATACTTATACTGAAAGTCACTTGTATGCTGTCTAGGTGATAAGTCAATATTCCTTAAAAGAGCATCTTTAATGATTTTTTTATATCCGAACACACTGTGGATCACTGGTACCCAGGGCAGCCAGGACAGGACAAAGGGGTATTTTTACCAAACTCCAGCCCTACTGCCTGTGGTGTATGTGGTATAGATGGGCATCTCCAAGTGTCTAGCAGAAACCCAGTGCCTTGTGAGGTACAGTGACATCACAGGGCTGCTTAGGACAAGCTTTTTTACTACCAAAACTTCAGAGGAGTTCTAGCTTTTCTCTTCCATTCAGGATCTAGGTCTATTGCCTTTCCTGGCTTCTAGCTGTGGCCCCTGCTGTTACTCAGGCTCACTTGTACTCTGATCCCTGTCCTTTCAGTTTTCTTCTGCCTCCTGCTGGACGGAGCTGCCCTCTCCTCTGCCAGTGTTCGGGTCCATTCTGTTGTTGTTGGGTGTCAAATGAGGCTTCATCAAAGAGGGTTGGGGTTTTTAGTTTATTTTCTGTTCTTTAGGAGTATGGAAGGATTCTGAAAGTTGGAGAATTCCAGAGGATGGGATCCTGGATGTCCAAAGTTGTACTGTCCCACAGAAACTGTTCAAGCTGCTATGTAAGGTGAATAAAACAGTGGCTTTTTGGGAACAGGTGCATGGCAGTCATGGTTTAACCAGAGAAGCAGAACCACCAGATGAGTGTGTATGAAACAGAATACGTATTAATTTACAGGAGTTTAACTTCTGTAATTGCAGGAGCTTCTAAAGCAGTCTCTAAGGGCCACCTCTGCCCTGAGCTGGAGTTTAAAATCTTCGGGGCTAGCAGTAGCCAGGAAAGACAGACAGCCACAAGCTAGAACCATAGGCAACAAGCTAAAGTCATGAGTAGAGACTAAAACCATGTTTGCTTGTGTTGCCTCTGGCTTTGGGGTGGGGGAGGTTGGGAGGGCTTGTGTACAAGCACCAGGTGAGGCCGGGGTTAGAGGAGCTAAAGCAGGAACCTGGAGCAGATGCAGCAGTTGCCGGTCCCCTGCTGCCTCTTACCAACAAGGGGAGCTGGCTCAAAAGCACAATGTTTAGGTGATAAAAAAGGACTGCTAAATCACATGGGCCCTCCAAATCTCCAACAAGAATCTCCTCTGGGCTCCACCCCAACCAGAAACATAAAAGAACAGTTATTCTGGAAAACGTGGTTCAGCCTATGTATACTGACACATTACAAAGCCACCATAGGGTAAAGTTTTTTCTGGAGCCACCAGCTAAGTGGACCAATGGTCAGTTCTTGAACTTGGCAATTCACAAGGCCCTTAATGACAAAGAACTCAACTGGTGATAGGTTACCCCGCCACAGCTTGTAAAGCCTGCCTGCTAGCTAAAGACCTGAACTCATCCAGAAAACGGAAATTTTGTCTGAAGTTGAAACCTTAAGAGTAGATTTAAACTGCCAATGTGTAACAAAGTCCAAGGAAAGCATAAGGATGCCACCTAAGTAAGGTACATGGAGAAGGCAGATGTTCAGAAAAGATCCCTGATCCCCAAGTGGGAGAGATTTCTGTCCTGGCTTCCCCACTAATAGCAACATGCTCAGGCACTCTTCTTCTTAGGCATCAGTTTCTTGTCCCTAGAATGAGGGGGTTTTGGCCAATGAAGCCATAAACGTTTTCTGGACAACAGTCTACAATGACTAGACACATCCACCTCCTAACCAGATAGCTGCCCTCCACCTATGTATTCCAAAACCAGAAATATTAAATTCATGCTATTCACTGGGAGCTCACGGCTGAGTAGTGTTTGCCTGAATGTTCATGGTAACATGCTGGGGAAACAGCCATGCAAGAAAGGAGAAGGGAGCAAGGAAGAAGACCTGTGGGCCCATCTGGCTTCATGCATTTTTAGAAGTTTAAAGTCTGGTAACATCATCAGCCACCTCCAACCCTGGCCTGAGCACCTACTTATGTTGCTCAATGAGTTTATTTTCATTATTTTTTTTAAAGATTTTATTTATTTGACAGAGAGAAAGATCACAAATAGGCAGAGAGGCAGGCAGAGAGAGAGGGGCAAGCAGGCTCCCTGCTGAGCAGAGAGCCCGATGCGGGGCTCGATTCCAGGACCCTGAGATCATGACCTGAGCCGAAAGCAGAGGCTTAACCCACTGAGCCACCCAGGTGCCCCTACTTTTAATATTTAAAAAAATCTCATTTATATAAATTTTTACTTGAAGTATAGCTGCCATATTAGTTTTGAGTTTACAACAGTGATTTGATAATTACCTCCATTACCAAATGCTCACCAGCGTAAATACTTGTCTCAAGACTGTGAGGAGGTGTACAAAACCACAAAATGACTGATACAGGCACATGTGTCCATGGAAAACCTCTCTTTCATGATGAGTACTTAATCCAGGCAGCAGCTGCACCATGAGTGCAGACATGGCTAACAGACTGAGCTTTTAGCCACATCCCTTAGAGGACCGGGGGTGGGGGGTTTGGATACTTCCACAGACAGATGCAATAAACAGAATGTTGGCAATAGATGTGAGAGAAGATGTAGACAGAGCAGCTGTGTGACGAGGAGGGAAAATGATTAACTCTAGCTAATGTTGCTGTCACCCCAGCCTAAAATCCGGCAGGCAGTATGCCTGTCTCTCTCCCCCTGCCCCCCTTCCTGCTCCCCATTCTCAACATGCATCTTCTGTTTTGCATTTGCTGTTTTTTTTTTTTATTGTCCTTGGACTTGGTTTCTTTATGCACTGAAAAATAGTTTCACAAGTGATACGGAAAGATACTCCCTGTGAAAGATTCAAGTTGTATACAGGTATACACAAGGAAATAATCTTTATTATTTTATTAATTTTGATGGATTTTCCCTCTCAAACATCTTTCCTATTTAGACTATCACCAACAATGTATAAGAGACTCTTGGATTCTTGAGAAGACTGGATGGATAATATCTATGAAAATTTCTGCTAATCTAATAAGCAAAATAGATCTCATTTAAATTTGATTTCTCTGATTACTAGTGGTACTCAGTGTTTTTAACTGTATTTATTGGACATCTAGGTTTAATTTTGTGTTAACCATCTTAAAATTACATTACTTGTCTTTTTCACTGATAGCCAGTATGCATAGCTTCCTATTGCTGCTCTAACTACCATAAATTTAGTGGCTTAAAACAGCATGAATTCATTATCTTACACTTCTGGAGATCAGAAGTCTAAAATGGGACTTGCTGGACTAAAATCAAGGTGTTGGCAGGATTGTATTTCTTTTGGAAGCTCTAGGAAGAATTCATTTCCTTGCCTTTTCCAGTTTTTAAAGGCCACCTGGAATCCTTGTG